GTTGAGCACTGCTTTTCACTGGCTCTGGAGGCTGAGCAGACTCTCTGCCGTTCGGACTCTTCCGATGTGGGAAACGCGTCCCAAACACCACTGCCCCCTCACTGTGCATGCCAGCCGATCCGGACCACAAGGCACCGGCTCCCACGGGGTCAGCTCTAGTAACTCCTTGCTGCTTCTGAACCGTCTCTCCCTCCCCCTGCCACTCAGCCTGATTCCTCAACTTTGCCTTTGATGTTCAGGGCTCCTAAATTGTCATATATAATCGATCCACTTGTTTTTTTGGGTCTATGTTGTAAGAGGGACCACAGGAATTGTCTGACTATTCTGCCTTCTTGGCCTTGCCTCCATAAGTGCTCAATAGATGTTAGTTATTATTGTTTTAAAAATTCAGCGGTTACTATTTTTTTGCCTTGGGGGCATTAAGGAAGCAGTCAGATAAAAAACTACATGTCTTGTGTCTGAAAGATTAAATAGGTGGATAGAGAGAGCATTTTAAGCAGATGAACAGCATGTGCTAAGGCATGGCATATGGGGAATTATAAATAGTTCAGGTATAGGAAATGAGCAGTTCCGTTATCTTGGAACAGCTGCTAGAGAGGCAGAACTGGAGGTCAAATGATAAAAGGACTTTGTACACTGAGCTTAGGAATTTGGACTTTTTTCTGTGGGCTATGGAGAACAGTTGAAGGGTTTTAAAAGTGGGAGCCTAAGTCAGATTTGTATTTTAGCAAAGTCATTCTAATAGTAATGTGGAAAATGGGATGCAAGCAGACTTCAGGCAGGAAACCTGCGTAAGAGGATACTACCATAGTTCAGGTGGGAGAAAATGAGAGGCTAAACAGGGCAGTAAGGGGGGAAATACAGAGCAGAGGGTAAATTCAAGAGGTTTTTGAAGGTATAAATGATAGGATATACTGAAGGAGAGGATTAAGATTAACCCCAGATTCTGACTAGGTAACGTCTGTTGGAGTTTTTAAGGGGCCCAATAAATAACATCCTTCCTTCCTGTTCAAAATAAGACAAAAAAAAGTTGTTAAAGCACTAGAATGTGCTTTAATCTAAGAGCCAAAGTTGGCTTGCTATTCCTCGACATAATAAAGGGCATTTATACAAAGCTAACAGCCAACGTCATTTTAAATAGAGAGAGACTGAAAGCATTCCCCTTGAGAATGGGAACCAGACAAGGATGCCCTTTATCACCACTCTTATTCAACATTGTGCTAGAGGTCCTAGCTAGAGCAATAAGGCAAGAAAAAGAAATAAAGGGTATCCAAATTGGTAAGGAAGAGGTAAAATTATCCCTATTTGCAGATGATATGATCTTATACACAGAAACCCCAAAGAATCCACAGCTACTGGAACTAATAGAAGATTTCAGCAAAGTAACCAGATACAAGATTAACATACAAAAATCAGTAGGATTCCTCTACAGCAACAAAGAGAACATCGAAAAGGAAATCACCAAATCGATACCATTTACAGTAGCCCCCAAGAAGATAAAGTACCTAGAAGTAAATCTAACCAGGGATGTAAAAGACCTATACAAAGAAAACTACAAAACACAACTGCAGTAAACCAAAAGAGACCTACATAAGTGGAAAAACGTACCATGCTCATGGATAGGAAGACTCAACACTGTGAAAATGTCAGTTCAACCCAAAGTGATCTGCAGATACAATGCAATCCTGATCCAAATTTCAACAGCATTTTTTAACAAGATGGAGAAACAAATCACCAACTTTACATGGAAAGAGGAGAGGCCCCAGATAAGTAAAACATTACTGAAGAAGAAGAACAAAGTGGAAGGCCTCACGCTACCTGATTGTAGAACCTATTATGCAGCCATGGTAGTCAAAGCAGCCTGGTACTGGTACAGCAACAGACACATAGACCAGTGGAACAGAATTTAAAACCCAGACGTAAATCCATCCACCTGTGAGCAGCTGATATTTCATAAAGGCCCAAAGTCCATTAAATGGGGAAAAGACAGTCTCTTTAACAAATGGTGCTGGCAAAACTGGATACCCATCTGTAAAAAAAATGAAACAGGACCCATACCTGACACCATACACAAAAGCTAACTCAAAATGGATAAAAGACCTAAATATAAAATCTAAAACAATAAAGATCATGGAAGAAAAAATAGGGATAACACTAGGGGCCCTAATACATGGCATAAATAGTATACAAACCATAACTAACAATGCACAAACACCAGAAGAGAACCTAGATAACTGGGAGCTCCTAAAAATCAAACTTGTGCTCATGAAAAGACTTCACCAAAAGAAAAAATTTTTGGCTACAACATATCCGATAAGCATCTAATCTTTAAAATCTACAAAATACTGGAACACCTCAACAACAAAAAGACAAATAATCCAGTTAAAAAATGGGCAAAGGATATGAACAGACACTTCACCAAAAAAGACATTCAGGCGGCTAGCAGACACATAAGGAAATAACCATGATCATTAGCCATTATAGAAGTGCAAATCAAAACTACATTAAGATACCATCTCACCCCGACAATACTGGCACTAATTCAAAAAACACAAAATAACAAATATTGGAGAGGTTGTGGGGAGATTGGAACTCTTATGCACTGCTGGTGGGAATATAAAATGGTGTAACCACTTTGGAAAACGATATGGCAGTTCCTTAAAAAGCTAGAAATAGAAATACCATATGATTCAGCAATCCCACTCCTAGGAATATACCCTAGGGAAGAGCTGTCACACAGATAGACATATGGGCACCTATGTTCATTGCAGCACTGTTCACAATAGCAAAAAGATGGAAAAAACCTAAATGCCCATCAACAGATGAATGGCTAAACAAATTATGGTACATACACACAATGGATGAATCCACGAAACATCTCACAACATGGATGAATCTGGAGGGTATTATGCTAAGTGAAATGAGTTAGTCACAAAAGGACAAATACTGTATGAGGCCACTATTATAAGAACTCAAGAAAAGGTTTACACAGAGAAAAAAGCATTCTTTGATCGTTACGAAGGTGGGGAGGGAGGGGGAAGGGAAATCACTAGATAATAGATGAGAAGCATCTTAGGTGAAGGGAAGGACAACATACAATACAGGGAAGTCAGCACAACTGGACTAAACCAAACGCTAAGAAATTTCCTGAACACAACCAAACGCTTTGAGGGACAGAGTAGCTGGGGCTGGGGTCTGGGGACCATAGTCTTGGGGCATGTAGGTCAGTTGGCATAACAGTTTATAGAGAAAATATTCTGCATCCCACTTTGGTGAGTAGTGTCTGGGATCTTAAAAGCCTGCAAGCAGCCATGTAAGATATATCTACTGGTCCCATCCCACCTGAAGCAAAGGAGAATTAAGAAATCCAAAGACACAAGGAAAATGCTAGCCCAAAGGACTAAAGGATCACATGAACCAGAGACTCCATCAGCCTGAGACCAGAAGAACTAGATGGTGCCCAGCTACCACCGACAACTGCCCTGACAGGGATCACAACAGAGAATCCCGGACAGAGTAGAAAAAAATGTAGAACAAAATTCAAATTCATGTAAAAAAAACAAACTTAACTTGTCTCACAGAGACCAGAGGAACCCCCGAAACTACAGCCCCCGGATGCTCTGCCAACCCAGAACTGAAAACATTCCTGAAGCCCACTTTTCAGACGAAGATTAGACAGGCCTATAAAACCAAAAATAACACGTGAGGTACATGCTTCTTAGTTCAATCAAATATACGAGACCAAATGGGCAGCTCCTGTCCAAAAGCAGGATGAGAAGGCAGGAAGGGACAGGAATTGCATGAATGGACACAGGGAACCCTGGGTGAAAAGGGGGAGTGTGCTGTCACATTGTAGGGATTGCAAGCAATGTCACAAAACAATATGTATATAAATTTTTGTGTAAGAAATTAACTTGAGCTGTAAACTTTCACCTAAAGCACAATTTAAAAAGTTGGCCTGCTTACTATATCCCAATATAGCCCACCTGAGAGAAAGTTTGATTCTTCATAGCACATGTGTTTCCCCATCACTGCTTCCTAATGGTTTAGCACAGAAGGAAGGAGAAAAGAAATTAAATCCCCTCTCATCTCAAGTTCCAATAGCTCTTGCTCAGCAACCAGTTAATTCACTCCTTTTTGCATGGAGATGAGATGCAATAAATCCTGTAACAGTGCTATTAACAAGATAGAATTAAAAGAAAGAGGACCAAATTTGGAGTGTTGGGAGAAGTTGGGAAGAGAAGTGAGGTCATGAGATCAGAGTTGGAGATCTAATAGTCAGTGGGACATAAAGGTTATCACTCTGCACTACTTCTTCTTACTTTTTTTTTTTTTTTTTAAATCTGTATGCGGAGTTTGGCCAGGCTAGAGTGACCGGTAAGAAACTGTACAACATAACATAACAAGAATCTTTCTAGTGAACAGACTTGTCCATCTGAGGCATTTAAACAAGTCCAAAGGCTGTTTGTCAAAGATGCCGAGGAGAGAATTTCTTAATGAGCTGAAGGATGGTCTATGACCTCTAAAGTCCCTTTTAACTCTAAAAGTCTATGATAAAACCAAAAAACCAAACCCGTTGCTGTCGAGTCGATTCCGACTCATAGAGACCCTATAGGACAAAAACTGCCTGATAGAGTTTCCAGGGAGCAGCTGGTGGGTTCAAACTGCTGACCTTTTGGTTAGCAGCCTGAGCTCTTAACCACTGTGCTACCAGGGCTCCAAAAGTCTATGATAGAAGATGTTAAATAGGTAATAAATGATTTGATAATATCCTAATAACATTTTATAACATATAAAAAATCCTTAGCTGCAGTTATACTTTCTTTTAAATTAATGGTATATATGCATAGGTGTTATTTGAAGAACATATTCTTCAGATATATGTGAGATTAGAACTTTATCTTGGCTAAAAGTTTATGGGGAAATAGACTGTATCTTGATATCGGTTAAACCTTAGTTATTTCTGAATTTCGGTTCAGTTTTTCTTTTTTTAATTTCAGCATAAACCAGGTGGAAATGAATGTTATGATGTATTTCATATATGGAGGAACTTTGGACTTTCCAGACAAAGCTAATGTTGGGTATGTATTACTTTTTAATAAATTTCAATATAATAGTGTTATTAGTATTCTTAGCTACTGCTTTGTGGAACTGTGTGGTAAAGTGTCAATGAAGTAGAAGCTTCACTTTTATTATCTATTTTGCCATATCTTTTGTGTGTTTTGGGAATATTTGAAAAGAAATAAGCAAGTCACCTTACTTATTTAGAAGAAAAGATGATCTGGAAATTCACAGTAATAATAAGATTATGTAAAGCTTTTTATTAGACCTAAATCAGGGTAGAAGAAACTTATTTTTGTTTTGGAAAATAAATAACTAGTTTTTATAAAAATTAATAGTACTTTCGTCAAAGTTTGAATAATTATTTTACTACTTTTTTTTTTTTTAAATTTTAGAACATCTTTTTTTAAACAGCAAAAGAAAGGGGGAAAAAACCCTTAAATCTGATTGAGAAATATACATACATCCTAAAGACCAACAACAATGATGTGATACCTAAGTGCTCAGTAGCAATTCATCTGAATTGCTGAAATCCTACTGTAGGATGAAATTCCACCTTGCTCTTCTTAATCAGTGTTTCAGAAGTTCTCCCCTTTTGCTGCTCTTCTAACATCAGACAAATGAAAGCTGTATTTTTAATTTTAAATATTCATTGGTAACTTTAATAACAAACGGAATAAATATGTTTCTTGGGAGAAAGTACCAGGAGTTACAGGGATTGAGTACTGAAGTTTTTCTTTCTGGACACTTACGTAGAATTTCATCATGCTCCTAAAGCTTGTAGATTTCCTAAGTACCTAAAGTATGTGTAGGTGTTCAGAAATGTTTGTCAAATGAAAGAAGCAAAGGAAACTCTCCGAGTGATTGAATGCTATCTACAATCTTAGGGTCGTTTATAGGCATTTATAGTATGATAAGCATCAGTGAATTACCCCCTGCCTCAAACTTTAATTATACAAATTTCTTGCACAGAATTTGGAAACTTTTACTGCCTTAGAAACAGACAGTTTCCAGGACTGAGAATATGAGAGGAAGTTGACTGAAACATCTCTAAATTTACCTTGTGTTATTCTTTATTAATCAAATCATGTGACAGTGCTTTCAACCTTTTGCCATGTACTTTTTATAATCAATAAAGTGTGTCTATTTTGTAGAGGGAAAAAAGTTAAAATTAAAATAATTCAGTTTTTTTTTCTAAATAGACTATATATTATCAAGAAACTTCTGTGTATTATGCCTTTATTTTTAAATTAAAGAAATAACAGTGTATGTATTTTTATTTTAGTCAGATACTCAATATGGCTGATATGTATGGACTAGATGGATTAAAAGAAGTAGCAGTCTATATTTTAAGAAGAGATTACTGTAATTTCTTTCAGAAGGTAATTATTGAGTCTCAGAAATCTTTTACCCAGTGCTTAAAGTCACTCATTATTACCTGGTAATTTTTAACTCCAATAGTAAATAGTGCTTTAAATATTAAAAATATTAAGTCCATGCAACTAATGGGAACTCCAGTTTAGAAACAGCACATATGGTATTCTTGCGAAAAAACAGAAACCAATTCAAATAATTTTAAGTAAAATAAAATTGAGATGGGGATTTATTGAAAGGATATAGGAGTATCCTATATAATTCAAAGGTAGTATGTACAGTGGGGACTCAGGGTTTGGAGCTAGGCGGAAAAAACCAGGGTTACCGTCTCCATTTATCAGGGGGTTATACAGTGCTTCATCGATTCTTCTCCCTGAAAGTATACTCCTTTCTCCTACCACCTCTTTTTATAGCATGTATGTAGTCAGGACAGAATATAGTTCTTTTCTACCTGTCTCCCCAAGTGGAATATGCTTAGGAAATACCATTTTTCATTTCAGTTTATGTGAAGGTAAATTTACTGTGTAAAAAAAAAAGGCCCCATACTATGTATTTCAGAGTCATTTTGTACATTATTCTTAGGTTATCGTTTTGATTTTTCTCTGGGACTACAGATTATTTTTGTTTTCTGATTCATGCTTTTCTAGATTTTCTAAATTTTCTACAATTAACATATATTACTTTTACACTTAACCAAAAACAAATCTTCAAAGAATTGTTTACAACAATACTTCCCTCCTATTGGGTACTTGAGGGCAGTAATATGCATTACATGAAGTCTAATTACGCTCATTGTAATGTTTTAAATGACATTTAAGTTTAGATTTATGTGTAGGACTTTTCCTATCTCCTATAAGTTGCAGCTGATGAAAAAGGAGCACTAAATTCCCCATGTGCTAAAGAGAACATGAACAACTGATTCCAGCACCACCACTACCCCACCCCCAAGGTTTACTGAGAAACAGTTAAACACCTCGGTTACCTTTAATAATTCACTTCATCCTCTTTAAGTAAAAGAACTTAAAGAGGGGGAGCAGTCTGTGGTGTCTTCAGCTTTGTGGAGGATGGAGAATTCTAGTGGAAGACTTTTCCTTTTCCTTCTTTCATATGACTCCCCCAACCTTCCCAGCCAAATGAAAGCAAAGAGGTAGATTCAAGTGAATCCCAAATAAAAATTAAAGATAGAGTGAGTATCTGCAATGAGGAGATTGTTTCTTCTTATCCCTCAGATGGACTTTATCCTTTCTATAAAACCAGCCTACTGTGGCACTTCCATCAAAAAAGAAAGTAGTACAGGATTTCTTGGGAGAGCTTGGAGTATGTCCTCAGAAGCCAGTGGGAGTATATTTGAACATGCTAATTTCTAAAGGAGGAAGCTTGCTGGAGAGGCAAACCAAAAAACCAAATCCATTGCTGTCGAGTCAATCCTGACTCATAGTGACCCTACAGGACAGAGTAGAACTGCCCCATAGGGTTTCCAAGGAGCAGCTGGTGGATTTGAACTGCCTACCTTTTGGTTAGCGGCTGAGCTCGTAACCAATGCCTGGTGATAAGGGACTATAATTATTGTTGTATAAGGAAAAAATGATAGGGAGTTCATCCCACACTTCAGTTATACATGGTCCATAGGTAAGGGGGAGGATTTTGTGGTTACATGAAGGAACACGAAGGTTAGAAGAGACTGATACAGGGCCAAATGATACTGTGCCCTACCTAGGGAGGCATTGGGGATCACGAACCAGTGGAAGATTTCTTATCTACAGAGAGGCCAGAATGAAGCTTGATCTGCCTTCGAGAGTCATACTTCAGCAGAGGCCACTACCATCTGAATGAGAGCAAAACCAAGGGCATCTCCCTACTATCATCTTGATCTCCACTTAGTTACATAAGGTGACCCCTGCTATTCATAGCCCTCCACCACAAGAGTATTTTAATATTTTTTATGGAAATTATTCATAAGTTATATATCAATTAGTGGACTTTATGTTATATAGGGCTGATTATTTATAAATGAAATTAATTTAGACTGCTGAATATTTTAACTCTTGCATTTTTACAGTTTTTCAGATTTCTGGCTGCTTTAGGTTGTCAAGTATGCCTATGCCGGGAGCCCCTTTCTTCAGATACTTATCTGAAGTGGGTCAGGAAATCAAATTTTTAACTTGGTAGAATTATTACTGGATAGCGTATATAGTGAGGGATAAACCATTCCTTATTTTAGGACAGCTTAGAGTATCTTTAATTATCTCAAAGGGAATAACTAAATTGTTAATATGGAAAGCAAAATATTTATATTCCATTTATTAAATAAATGCTAATATAACTCTTTTAAGGGAAAGATATTATAAAATCAAATTAATAGCAATTCATTAAAAGAAAAAAAGTTGGAAATCACTGACCTTATTTGAAGGACTGTGCTGAAGGCATTTCTAAACAAGCTTTTGCTCTTTTTTTTTTTTCTCAGAGTAGGATAAGTACTTTAGAAGTATATGTTTAGAAACTAGATAGACAAATTGGCTGATTACTTGTCTTTATTACGTATATAAATCCAAATCACAATTCATAGATGCAAACAAAGAAAAGTTGAACTGCAGGCAACTTAATTGGGTAATAGATATGCTTAGGAACATTGTCCAAAAACTGAAAATACATGGCATGGGCAATGTATAACACAGAGGGTTTACCACCAAGAGCAGCGAGTTGCTTTCACTACCCATATCTACATTTTATTTGTTTTAGTTCACTACTTCATATATGTGCCTTAAAAAAATGTTATATTTAATTCTGATCCAGTTAAATTCTGTTTTTATCTGAGGTCAGTGTAAGCCCTCCCATTGCACATGTACTTAAAAGTTATACTTTAGGAAGCAGATTAAACCATATGGTTGTATTGCGATATGATGTGCTGGAAATTATCATGCCTCTTTAGCCATATATATATATATATATATATATAAAGCCAAAATAAATGAGAATAAAAATTTTGTGCATTCTGGCAGCTAAAAGAGCTCAAATGATATTCTATAAACATTATCAATAATGGTTGATATTAAGAGAATAACACACTTTTGAATTAAGTGTATTTATTCTGCAGTTAAATCAGACCATCTTTATGAAACAAATACTTTTAGCCTCTATAAGTTGGAAAATAATAAATGTGGTATTTTCAATTTTAGCCTATTCCCAGAAGATTGGCATCTATTCTAGAATGCCTGATTATTGCTCATTCAGTTGGTGTGGAAAGTCTTTTTGCTGAGTGCATGAAGTAAGTGATCTAAAGTAGTGCTGATAAAATTGAGGAATTTTGTTCTTTCATTCTCCTAATTTTGTGGACAATTTTAGACTTGGCCTATTTTCTTGAGTACAATGTATCTTAATACTTAACTAGTTGCACCAGTTGAGATAAAGTACCAATATAGATATTACTGAAGATGCTTGGGATCAATTTTATTTTATCTGAATCATGATTAGTTACTAAAATCTGTACACATAACCCGATGTGGATTAAAATATGTATTTACAGAAAAGGAAGCGTAGTTAAGTCCACCGCAGAATTTATAAAATTAGCAATAAGGGTTAGTCAAAACATAGGTATAATTTATATAACTGACAACTAAGGTATTACTGAATATTATAATGAAAAACATTTTTGTTTTTCTAATTTGGGATTCTGTGATTTAACAGGTGGATTGTAAAGCATTTTGCAAGGTGTTGGTCTGAGAGAAGCTTTGCAAATGTACCCTCTGAGATTCAGAAAAGTTGTCTTCATATGTTGATTGAGTCCATAGTAAGTATAACCTAAATAACCTTGTTTGTGTTTGTCATCACAAGTATAGATACTTTCAGTCTTTTAAATATAAATGTAGAATGTTATTATGAAAGCAAGATAACAGAACAGTTCCAGATACCCAGAACCAATTCAGAGAGGCTATCCTTAAGATTCTGTTCCTCTGGAAACACACTCAGGACCAAATTTATCAATCAGGCTTCAATCAGAGAAGCAAAACCACTAGGAGATATATATTGGTTTATGAACAAAGTGGGCATGGTGGGGATGGAGTTTATGCATTGACTCAGCAACATGGATGTCCCCTCACCAGGGTGGTTCTAGGTACAACACTGAGACCCCTATGGCATCATTCCCCAAGGAGATCAGCCAGCTACCTCATGGCAGACTGATTACATTTCATCACTTCCATCATGGAAAGGGCAGTGCTTTGTTCTTATTGGAGTAGACATTTGTTCTGGATATGGATTTATCTTCCTTGCCTGCAATGCTTCTTCTAAAACCACGATCTGTGGACTTACAGAAGGCCTTATCCATCATCCTGGTATTCCACACAATAAAATTTCTAATCAAGGAACTTACTTCACAGCAAGTCAAGTGTGGAATGGTTTTACTATGTTCCCCATCATCCTGAAGCAGCTAGTTTGATAGAGTGCTAGAATGGCCTTTTGAGGACTCAGTTATAGTGTCAGCTAGGTGGCAAGACCTTGTAGGCCTGGGATAATATTCTCCAGGATGTGGTATATGCTCTAAATTAGTGTCCAATATATAGTGCTATTACACCCATAGCCAGGATTCATGGGTCTAGAAATTAAGGTGTGGAAATAGGAGTGACTCTACACACTATTATCATAGTGACCCGATAGTAAAATGTTTGCTTCCTGTCCCTGCAACCTTAGCCTCTGCTGACCTGGTGTTATAGTTCCAAAGAGAAAAGTGCTTCTACCAGGGGACACAGCAATGATTCCATTAAACTGAAGTTAAGACTTCCTTCTAGCCATCTAGGGCTCCTCATGCCAGTGAATCTATAGGCAAACTTGGAGGATCACTGATAAATTGATCCTAACTGTCAAGGGGAATTTGGGTTGCTACTATAAAATATGGGTAAGGAGGAGTATATCTGGAGTGTAGGACTCTCATGTCCTATGGTTAAAGTCAGTGGAAAACCGTAACAACCCAATTTAGGCAGCACTGATCATGTCCTGGACCCTTCAGGGATGAAAATTTGGGCCACCCTACCAGATAAGAAATTACAACCAGCTGTGGTACTAGTTGAGGACAAAGGGAATATGGGATGGGTAGTGAAAGAAGGTAGTTATAAATGCTAGCTACAACCATGTGACCAATGACAGAAACAGTACTGCAGTAGTTATGATATAATCATGTTCATATCCCTTTTTCGTATGAATATTTTTATACATATATTAACCAACTATTTTTGTTTTTTCCCCCCTCTCTCCCATTCCCCTACCATCTAATATAAGACATGTTAATAATACATACATACATACCTGTTGCTGTCAAGTCGATTCTGACTCATCTCAACCCCGCAGGACAGAGTGGAACTGCCCCATAGGATTTCAAAGGAGCGGCTGGTGGATTCGAACTGCTGACCTTTTGCTTAGCAGCTGTAGTTCTTAACTACTAGGCCACCAGGGCTCCAGTTAATAATAGTTAACGTTATATCTCCATATTTAAGTTACTGGATATCTAAGGGGAGTGTGAATCAGTTTGAAGAAGAATGAACATCACCCAAAGACAAAAAAAAGGTATCCTCTTTTGGGAAGAGGGTTAGCATGTTTGTTGTATGCAAGTTTGTTGTATGTGGAATAGTTGTATCATGTTAGACAGAAGCAGGACTTTGTTATAGTCTCCATTTGGGAACTGAGAATAGTTTAAAGGGATTTGTATGGGTGACAAATTGACAAGAAGTGGACTCTGGGGCTTGGCTAGGCCAAACTGTACTTCCCAGAATCCCCCTTTCTGTGTTTCCAGTTAGGGTGAGCCACGGAGACAATTTGGCATGAGATTTGGAGGACAGAAGTGAGCCAGCAGCCATTTTTCTTTTTTACACTAGGAAGGTGGGGGCAGCCATTTTTAGCTCACACATATTGTTGCTTATTTACTGACTCACCTTGTTGGCATAGGACAGCAGCCAGACTTGCAACTGCTCTACCTTGTCCTGTATCCTTCTTCAGCCTCTCTGATTCCTGGGCGAGGTATGTGTTTAGCTCCATGATGAAATGTGCCAGCATCTCCTGTAGGACACTCACTTCATTAAGTTGGAGGCAGTGAGAACTGACATGGTTCTATTCCATACTTGTGGGTTGCAGCTCATATTCTTAGGTTTCAGCTTGTCCTTGCTGTCCCCCTCTTTACACCTGTCTTCCCTTCTCAACTGCCTGCCCTGTGGATGTCAAACTACAGCAACAGATTAAATACTATTTAGCCAGCTTTCACACTTGCGTAAGGTCAAACCCCGTAACAAATCCCTTTGTGTGTACTAATACCCCCTAGTGGTTCTGTTCCCCTAACTGAATCCTGAATGATACCACCACAGCCTGGGTTACATAGAAGATGTATCTAAATCTAACTGGGAAAATAAGTATAGGTCATAAGCTGGTGAGATACCACTGCAAAAAATAAATCTAAATCTGGGTTTAAGGTAGTGAATAACTTTGTAGTTTTGCTGCTTACTATTTTGCATTACAGTTTCCTTGGTTTTGGAATGGTTACTCCCTATTCATGAAGGCAAACAAAAGACCCTGCTGTAATTCATCTTGATAGAAGTGGAAACACTCATTTATAATTATAATCACTAGTATTGTTTAGAGGTGCTTTTTTTACAACTTTACAGTTCAAAAATGCTTTTAAGACTATAAGACAGGTACTGTTATCCCCATTTCACAGATGAGAAACAGAATCAGAGAGGTAAGTGCTTTATTCAGGTTCACAATGCCAGTAAATACAAAGCCAGGTCTTAAAACCAACTGCTACCCTATCATTATAGGTGCTCAACGTGGGCAGAGATTTTTTTTTTTTTAAAGATGTAGGCCTTGGCTTCAAGGAACTTACAAGCTGATGGAAGAATGGGCATTTTAAAAACTAAAATCCAAATTATATTTATGATGAATATTATTTACCATCGTAGTCCCGGCCTTACAACCAAAACCAAAAACCCATTGCTGTCAAGTAGACTCCGACTCACATAGCCACCCTATAGGACAGAATAGAACTGCCCCATAGGGTTTCCAGGGAGCGGCTGGTGGATTCAAACTGCTGACCTTTTGGTTAGCAGCCAAGCTCTTAACCACTGCACCACCGGGACTCCAGCCTTACAACAGTACCTCCCAAAAACCCAAACCCACTGCCATCGAGTCGATTCCAACTCATAGCAACCCTGTAGGACAGAGTAGAACTGCACCATAGGGTTTTCAAAGCTGTAAATCTTTACAGAAGCCAACTGCCACATCTTTTTCTTGCGGAGTGGCTGGTAGGTTTGAACCGCTGACCTTTTGTTAGCAACCGAGCGCTTTAACCACTGTGCCACCAGGACTTCTCCAGTAGTGCCTAGCACATATTAAACACTCAGTATATACTGTCAAATAGGTAAATAAATGAATGAAAAAGTATGATCCTTATAATTCAGGTGTATACATGGGAACACAGAGAAAACTTAATAATGTAATTTCTAGAACTATTACAGAATCTGATTAAAATTTTCTGATTCAAAATATTTTGTTTACACCCTTAAAAAAGAAAATCAGATTATGAAGAGTTTTTAAATTTATGAAAGTAAAACAAAAGTAAGTGTGGGTGGTCACTAGGGTAAAACTAAAATTACATATAGTATATTATGTTATTAGTTCCAGGGTCAAAGACTAGCTGAAGTTCTATTTAATTAACACAATATCACAAGGACTAAGAAATAGTGTGTTATAGTGTTTATTCAGTATATGGTATTAGGACAACCAGGAGGCTAACTGAAAAAATTTAAGTTGAATCCATGCCTCATGTCTCATACCAGGATATATTCCAAATGGATCAAAGATTTGAATGTAAGAAAAAAAGAAACTTAAAATACTGCAATAAACTGTGGAAGAATTATTTTATAATCTCAGTGGGGTAGGAAAGAGGGATAGCCTTTTTAAGTATGATACAGACTCAGAAGCCATAAAAGAAATTTGATTATATAAAAATACATAATTTCTACATAGTAAAAACCACCATAAGTCAAAAGACAAGCGACAGCTCATACCACAGACATGATACTCATTTTCCCAATATAGTGAGTTCCTACAAATGGATTTTTTTTAAAGCCAAACAAAGGAAATATAAACACCTCTTAATTTGATGAAGATATCCTCAGCTTCACTTACTTAAGAGACATGATCGTTAAAACTGCAGTATGATACCATTTTCTGCTTTTCAGAATGAAAAAAATAAGGAATTTGACAATGTACTATTGTTACCGCAATAACGCAGATTGGAGCCGCCTGCCGCAATAGCCAATTCTGAGACGGGTGACGCCAGCAGCAAGAGTTTTTATTATATATCGATATATAGGAGACAGAGGGGAATAGATTCCTCAAAAAAACCCCATCTCCCCAACTGGAGATCGGCCGAAGGCTTTTATAGGGACAAGATTATGGGTCTTAGAAGTTTGTGTTAGTTCCCCCTTGAGGTGGTCACATCCCAGATGAGTTAATCTTTTCTTGGGGGTTATCTGGTGATATCCTGGTTTTCTTGTCCCAAGATGGGTGCTTTGTTCAGTTTGTCATTCCTAGACATTATCACTTGTTTTCCACCCTCCAAGGAGGAACATCAGTTAGTCTTAAACCTTTTGTAGAGACTCGAACCAGAGGGAAAAACAAGATCATGAGACAATGTGGGGGTTAGCAATGGGGAGTAATAATAGTGAGCTGGACCTATGCAGCCTCTTCCACTATTACATTGTTAGTAAGGCTGTGAGGAATAAATATTGTTATTCATTGCGAGGGAAGGCATAAATTTGCAAGATATTTTGCTGTGTTTGTCAAACTTTTTTTGACCGTGACCCAGAATAAGTTCTTTTTACATTGTGATTCAGTAGTGGTGCATGTAGAACTGAAACAAAGTTTCACAGGGCAGTACATACCCTTATATATGATGTACTGGTGTTTTCCATTTTTCTTTATTCTATTTCTTTCTTTTTTGTTGTTTTCTAATGCTGGTTGTGACTCACTAAGTAGATTTCTCTAGGCTGCTACAGTGAAGGAAACTATAGCTTGAAAACTGCTCCACTGAATGTATGTTGGCAATGTTTCAGATACCCCTGGTACCCCTACGTCATATCCTCTTGGCCTGTCTTTGTACTCCAGTCATTGCTGCAGCATTGAGCTGCACACAGGTGTGACCTGACAGCACTTCCTCTCAGTCACTTGTATTTCTCACTTTTCTGTCCTGAGGCTTTACCTGGGATACTTGCAGTTTAACAATTCTGACACATGTGCATACCTGGACCTGAAAGGATGTTAACACCTCAGGGGGTAACCTGAGGTGTTAACACCTTGCCCAGTGGGAGATGGGAGCCAGTATTTAAGTGATCTCCTCTCTGTCCTTTGGGTGGGTAATTCTCCAGTACCTACAGTAATGAATAGCTATATCAGTTCTCAAATTTTAATGTATATGCAGAACACTTGGGGATCTTGTTTAAATGAAGATTCTAATTCAGTAAGTCAAGGGTGGGGCCTGAGATTTTGCATTTCTTACAGGCTCCAGGAATGTCGATACTGTGGATCATACTTTGAGTAACAAGGAGCTAGATAGCACACCCTTGGATTGGCTTTCCCTCCTTCCATGTTTCACTCTTCCTAGTGCCTTTCATCCCCTTGGGATCACTTCCCAAAATAACTGCATACAAGCCTGTTTCTCAGGCTCTGTTTTATTGGCAGAACCCAGGCTAAGGCAAGTAGTATTGACCAAGCAATTTGTCATGGATTGAATTGTGTCCCCCCAAAATATGTGTCAACTTGGCTAGGCCATGATTCCCAGTATTGTATGATTGTCCACCATTTTGTCATCTGATGTGATTTTCCTATGTGTTGTAAATCCTACTTCTATGATGTTAATGAGGCAGGGTTAGAGGCAGTTATGTTAATGAGGGAGGACGCAATCTACAAGATTAGATTATGTCTTAAGTCAGTCTCTTTTGAGATATAAAAGAAAGAATCAAGCAGAGAGACAGGGGGACCATACCACCAAGAAAGTAGTGCCAGGAGCAGAGTGCATCCTTTGGACCCAGGGTTCCTGCACAGAGAATCTCCTAGACCAAGGGAAGATTGATGACAAGGACCTTCCTCTTGAGCTGACAGAGAAAGCTTTCCCCTGGAGCTGGCACCCTGAATTGGGACTTGTAGGCTACTAGACTGTGAGAGAATAAATTTTTCTTTGTTAAAGCCATCCACTTGTGGTATTTCTGTTATAGCAGCACTAGATAACTAAGGCACAACTCTATAAGGAATTTATCCTATAGGCATTTTATCCTCTAGTAATTTATTCACATATGTGTGAAGTAATGTTACATACAAGGTCATTCATTACAACATTGTAATACCAAAGTGCTGCAAAGCAGCGCAAATGTCTTTCAGTAGAGGACTGGTTAAATGACTTATGATATTATCTATACAATGAACTACTGTGTAGCTAATAAAACAATAAGAAGGCCCTTTATAAATTAATAAGAATATTCAAGATGTATGCTAAGTGAAAAAAATGAAGATACAGAGCACTGTGTATATTGATGCCTCCATTTGGGTAAAAGAAGGGGAAGTTACTTGTTTGTGTATACATAAAATAACTGCAAAGATACAGAAAAAAGTAAAACTGGTTGTGAGACAGGGAAGTGGGTAGTTGATGATGGGAATGGAGGAGAAATGGGAGAGAGACTTTTCCTAGTAATGCCCTTTATACATTTTTGAACTTTGAACCATGTGATTATGTTAACAAATTAAATTTTTATGTGTCTAATCTAGAAGTATTACATTTTTTCTTCTGTGAACCTGGAGGCACTCTATCCTTTAAGGTTATTATATTTGGGTCAGTATGGAATAAAGTCATATACCACCTATGTTATCATTTAACTGTTTGTGCCCATATTTTATTTTTCCAATACATTCCAAACTAATGTACACCTATACTTTATATCTGGATTTTTTTAAATTACTGTCAGAGTAATAACATTATGTATATAAACAAGCACTTTATAGATACCTGCCAAGTATATCTGAATACCCTACATTTGACTCCACTACCAGAGTAATCCCTATAGTATCACAAACTGAACTTATTGCTTAAAACTCTTAATAATTGGATAGTTACTAAGTCATCAGAGGAGGAGAGGATGATGGGACTAAATTTTAAAAAAACTTGAAATGTAGCAAAGCGATTTTTTTTTCTCTAATAAAGCAAACCAGAACCAAACCCACTGCCTTCGAGTCAATTCCGACTCACAGCGACCTCATAGGGTTTCCAACGCTGTAGATCTCTACAGAAGCAGACTGCTACATCATCTTTCTCCCTCTGAGCGGCTGGTGGTTTTGAATTGCCAGCCTTTCAGTTATCAGTCAGTCGCTTTAACCACTGCACCACCAGGGCTCCTTCTGATAAAGCAGGAGAAGTATATACATTTTAAAAGAATTCTTGCTAAATGGGTGAAATTTAAAAAGTTGGTACTCAAGGATTAAACTTATCTTAGAAACGCAGTTATAGACTCTCAGTTCAGTCTCTGATAATGCTAAAAGATAACAAATATTTTGAGTGTCTGCTATGACCCACTGGGGCTACAATGGTGAGCAGCAACAGACATGGTTTCACACTCACTGAACGTACAGTGTAGTGAGGGCGACAGACATTCATCAGATAGCAGCATTTGTGATTGAATAATTACAGATGAATTAAGTGCCCTAAGGAAGAGAGACAGGTTCTCTGATAGCATGTATAAAAGGAATCTGATACAAGTCTATAGAGAACAGGGAAGACACAGTGCTTGAGTTGAGAACTGAACGATACAGAGAGTGTGCACAATTCCACATCATGCTGTTCATGTTAAGGATTTCAGTCTGTCATTTCCAAATTTAACATTTTTCTATTACCTACCCCAAACCTAAGTAGCTTAAAATAATACCTTATTGTTTCTCACACTTTTGTGGGTTGACTGGATGGTGGTTCTGCTGGTCGTGCATGAACTCACTCCTGAGCTGAATTCAGCTGTTGGCTAAGCTGTAGGCTGGACGTCCTTCTCCACGGGTCTTTCTTCCGAGGCTTCTTCACGGCCTGGTGATCTCAAGGTTCCAAGAGTGTAAAGACAGAAGCTATAAGGCCTAGGCTCTGAAACTTGCACAAAATCAGTCCCACTGCATTCTGTTAGTTAAAACAAGTGACAAGGCCAGTCCGCATTCAGAAAACCAAAACCAAACCCGTTGCCATTGAGTTGATTCCGACTCATAGCAATCCTATAGGATAGAGTAGAACTGAGTGGCAAAGAATTTGTGGCCATGTTTTTCAATCTACTACAGTCTATCAGATAATTATTCAATAAATATTTACTAATCATTGTTTTTAATAACTAGAAATACAAACATGAATAAGATACACATTTATAAGTTGTCATTTTTTCCTTTTTCTTGAAGCACATGGCATTTGTTAATTGTCATTCCATTTTCCATAGAGATAAGTATTTGTGAATATTTTTTTCCTATGGTATGAAAATGAATTATCATTAAATGAATAAGATAAAAAGTGTAGTCTTACCTAATTAGAGAGGAGGAAGAAAATCACTGGGGATTCTAAGTAATTTTTAGCCTTTCTAAATTTGCAGTAAAGCACATGTATTTTATAGTCAGAAAAGAAGTAAGGCTATGTCAGTGTAGCCCTGCAGTTATGAATGGTGTCTATAAGCACAAAAATAAATTTAGTAGTGAAAATCTCACTGTAACTCTGCTCTTTCCAGCTCATAGTCTGCCCTTTTGGATAATTCTAAATGAATAAGTAAATATTATATATAAAACTAATGACAAAGATTTTTATCACCTTTTTTTCAGGTAAATCACAAGGAAACAAAAGTATTTGATTTGCTTAGAAAGTTATTTTATGAGCAGTGATACTATCTAACTTTTTTCCCACTATTTTTAAAATTTTAAGAATGATAAGAATGCCGCTTTTCTTCTGATGGAAAGTGACAGACTAATCATCAGTCTGCCCAGGGTGAAGTGGACAGAAGCAGCACTGAGTATGGCATCTCAGCTCCAAGAAGAATGTATTGCGTTTATTGTAGTAAACTTCCCCAAGATCATTCATAGTGAAAATTTTGCTCTTCTGTTACAGGTATTGTGTGTGAAATTATATCCTGTATTTAGTTCCATCTTTGGGTCCTGATTTTAATTATGTATGAGTTTTTAAATGCAGGTTGCCTTCGGCTGAATTAGTATGATTTAAATAAATTCCATAGCAGATGGTATGTTTGCCCAGAATTGAGAGAAGTGACGGACAGGATTTTTGGCTCACAAGATAAGGAAGTGGGGAGGGACAGGTGCGAGTGCTCTGGCAAGGCACAGTGTAACTCTGGCCAACTCTTTTAGAAACGAAAGTCATATTGTTTTGGTTCATGGAAAATTCTGTCTTACTGGGGACCCACTTTCTCTAACATTAGGCATTGAGTATCGAACCTCTACTGCTTATTTCTAGGTTCTGTTGTTAGGACTATTTTGACTCCTAAGAACTGTGTGTGTGTGTGTGTGTGTGTGTGTGTGTGTATTTTTAACAAAGAGAATGAGCAATTGTAATTTTTGGTTGAGTTCCTACAGCCAGTTATGATAAATGGTCTGCTGTTATGCCAGACTTTCACATTTCTTATACATTTTACATATATATTCTTGTTAAGTATCAGTTTTCTATGTTTTGTAGTCACAAGCAATGAGCAGCACAGCTGATCTATTGGACAAAGTTTTAAAAGCAATTGAAGAAAACGTTACCACTGAGAATAGTTGCTCTCTTCTTATGGCTCTGGACACATTACTGAACAATGAAAGTACAAAGGAAATGGTATTGAGTATAATAAATTTCACAAAATCATGTAATATTTGAAGTGTTTTAAGATTTTTAAATGTATGCACAAAAATACTCAGGATCATTAAAGCTAGGTGATGGATACATGGGGTTTGTTTTACTGTTATGTATGTTTGAAATTCTTTATAATACAGAATTTAAAAAATTGTGTTTACCTCCAAATGAATTTATTAGGAAAGTTTAGAATTTGGCAGTTTGGCTGGTTAATTCTAAACATATTTTGCTACTTAGCAATAGTAACTGGTACAGCATAACTCTAGTATTTCTACCCTGTCACCATAGTAAATTCTCTGAATATAAAATTTATATTTTAAAATTTAAATCATTAATATCTTTTTATTTTATAATACATTCTTAATTCCATTTTATCTTCAGAAAAAATTAACTGGGAAAAAGTAAAGGTAAAATATTACTTATTTTTATGTGCAGTTAATCAGTAGTAATTAATAAGCTAATTGCAAATTATTGGCATTTTGCATTTGTTCAACATGAATGATTAAAATATTTCATTAAATTTATTACTATTCCATAGAGTATTTGACCTTGTAATGTCAGAGGCTGTGGAAGGTATTCATCTAAAAGGCATTGGTGATTTAAAATAACGTTTGCTTGAAAGGGTTAGATTTAGCTTCGTGCTTCACTCTAAAATTCTGTTGTGGAAGCATAAGCATTCATAAATATCATGTACCCGATGATCTTAAAATCTAAGTGATGACATCATTGATCTAGCTTAGGAGTAAGTAGATTCAGAAAGGAATAATAACTGGTTGCTATGACAATGTGGCTCTCACCAGCTGCTGATTTGTTGCCTGAACACAGGGTTTTATGTGCAAGATCCAGGCTCTGCGTGATAAGCTGTGGATCTTCCTAGTACAGTCTTTCTATGCTGTTCGTCACACAGAAAGCTGGAAGCTGATGAGCACAGATGATCAACAGAAAATCCAAGCAGGTATGTTAGCTTTGAGATTTTCTTATTCTTTTATTATGATCTTTGTGACAGCAGGTATTTTAAGGGCATTCTAATAAATGGTAGGATTAACGCTTGTGTCCTTCTGTTCAATAATAGGTTGCTAATTGAATCTAGTGATAGTACGTTTAGGCAGTTTTAATAAATCATAATCTTTTTGTTGTTCTTATGAAATGAAACTCATTTCCTTTTTATTTATATATAAATTTTTAATCTTACTGTGTATTAACAAAAATGTTCCAGCCTAATTTGCTTAAAAGCATTCTTGTTAAGAGATTAGAAGTATAGGAAAATGTAATCCACATAGAACAGATTAGCAAGTATACTTTCTCTCCTTGTTAAAAATACATTTTGCCATAAAGATTTTCCATCTTTTGCGTGAGCTTCTATTTCTTGTGATTTTTGCCTAGATTAGATTGCTTTATTTCACAATTGATTGGTTCAGTGATATAATGTGTGCTATTGCGGAGTGTCCCTCAGGAGCCGCACGGTGGTCTCTGACATTTAATAGGTACTATTTGAAACATTAGCATTAAACAAAAGATGTATGTTGCTCAGCAGTGTCTTTATTTCAAAAATATTAAAATACAATTTTGAGGGTGGGGAACCGAAAATGGCTTCATGACTATTTTTGTGTTAAAGCAGGTGCCTTAGGTAAAATGTTGGCAGATTCAGCAAGTATACTTTTAAAAACATTTTAAGTTAAGAGACTATCTTTTATGTAGTAAATATTTTTGTACTGTAAAACATGAAAGCCATATGTGATATAAAATATTACTGATAGTACATAGATATGTTAAATTCTTTGAGGTAAAGTCAAAATATCATCTGCTCTGTTTTTCATTATGAGCATAGCATGATAGTGTAGCTAGATGTGATCTGATGAGCACTTTGCAAAGAAATTCCATTTTTTTAAACAACAACAAATATCTTGGAAGGGGGGTCTTCAGAAATTGGAAATGTTTTCCTTGTGACTATTTCTGTGCTGATTTTTAGATGAGTTTATCTTTATTAGAAAATCTATACAATGTGAAGAAACAATATAAGATCGGAATTCCTAGAGTGGGTGTCGTTCACACTCTCTTCTGACTGGTAGCAAACTTTGCTTTTCTCTATTTTCAAGGATTTCATAGTTAAGTTGAGCTTTAAACAATGTTCTTTTAATTCTTAAAAGTCCTAATTAAAAATATATGTAAATACACATACCCATACATATCTAAAACAAAATGTTATTGGTAGTCCAGTTAATTGTCAAAAGAACTTTCCATTCTATTACATCAGCGTAATAATAAATTTTTTTTTTTTAATCTTAAATGGGTTGAATGATAATGAGTCCTGACTTATATATGATTACTGCATTGGGAAACCCCCCATAAAGGAATTGTTCTGGGTTGTCTTTGTTACAATATTTCTTATGTTCTTATTGAGTTATAGACCTTTGGTAGAAATTTTGCATTAATTTCTTCTTGTATATTATTGTACAAAGTCATAGGCTTTTTATGAATCAGTCCTTATAATGCCATTTCCAGGATCTTGCTTTGTCTTATAGCACAGATCCTATAGGAGATCCTGGAAGATGCACGGTAGAATTACAGGGAATTTATTTTCTTTTTCATCTGCTGTTTTAATAAAAGTCAAATAACTTTTGGAGATTATACACATTTCTTCAAAATATATTTTAAAGCACCATAACCTTCAAAAAGAAGAAATACATGAGCTAAACTGTACATACAGCTCTCATACCATTATTCCTATATATTTTTCTGACATCATTCAGATTCTTATTTGAAGAACATAAGCATGACTTCATAAATAATTCCCATATAAACCTAACCTATAAAATTAATTTTTATGTAATTCTAAGAAAATGATGTGGGTTTGGGGATTGTTTCTGGTTTTATTTTCAATAAAACCTTCTATTTTTCTTCCTCAAACATCCAAAACCAGAGATAATTGTAGTTAATTTCAACAGAGTATTTTTGTTTTTAGGATAAATACGTTCTTATATTTAATAGTTTGTAAAATTACATTTGCCACAATCTATAAATTTTTGAAATTTGGAAAACTAAATGAAACCAATTATCTCTAAAATTTCACTAGTTAAGAAAATTCTATTTTTGTGTAAATGTGCAAATCTTCTCAGAGATAGTGCATTTCTTATTTGTTCATTTTAATTTAATAACACAAAATCCATAGATACCAACAAGTAAGATTGAAAACATTCTTTTTTAAAAAAATTCTAAAATATGTTAGAGAATTATTTATGTGTAATAGATTGGTTTCAGTTCTTTGAAGTTATTTTCATACAAACATAACCTTTTTTTTTTGCTAGCATAGTACCTTCCCTTTATGTCTATGGTAATAATAGTAATGCTTCCTATAAAAGTAAATTACTGTGTCTTTCTACAGCTGCATTTGACAAAGGTGATGATCGAAGACTGGGCAAAAAGCCTGTATTCAGTAGCTCTCAGGTAAACTTTCAAAAGATAACAAATAACTTAGATTTTATTATTTTTTATTTCTGATTAACTTTTAAACAACTTATTTTTTCATTAATTAAAACCGTTTCTTAATGGAAAATTATTTTAAAATTTTTTTTAAACAGGTGAGCATTTCATAAATTTTTTAAATGATGTGAATTTTTTATATCCAGCTGGCACAGGAAGTGAATTCTTGTCTACCTTTTTCATTTCCTTGAAAACTCTTTTGGCAACTAACATATTGGAGCTCTTCCATTAGATCAAAAATTGTTTAGAATTCTAGACCTAATTCAATATCTATTTTTCTAATTCACCTACTTCTTCCAAAAGGTTTTAGTTGTTCCAGTTTTCTCTGTACTTAAGTTTTAATTCACATAATGCGTTTTCGGTCTATAAAAGGCATTTGATACCAAGGATACAATTGTTTTTTACTCCAAAAGTTACTTTGTATGTTTGTCGTAACCTAAATACATTTTTCTTCCAAAAAAATGTTTTTAATGATAGGGTTCCAAGCTAACTTATAGATGCTCACTTAATAATATATTTGAAACTCCAAATTATACTAACCTAGTCCATGCACTATAATGATATATAATGGAGACGTACACTGAGAGTTCCAATTTGAAATGCAAAGAACACATTGCCCTTCCAAAGTGGAATAAGGAATCCTCTTTTCTTCTTCATCAGCCATTAGATAGGAACCCAGGAAGCTCCAAGCCTAAGCTGAGAGCTCTTATGGCTTGAGGCAGGGGTCAAGTTCCAGTTGTTCAGGGTGAGAAGCTGTGGGACATAACAGCTTTTTGCCATTAAACCTCCTATGCTTGTTTCCCAAAATTATGTTCCACAATATATTTGTTCTATCATATGTTCCACCTAAGAACATTTAGGATCAACTAATTTTGAGAATTGCTTCTCTTAGACTAATAATATTCTTTAGCACTTAAAAAACTCTGAAAAGCACTATAATAAAGAACACTGTTAAATTCTGCTTTACCCAGAATTTCCCCAAATTTTATAACCATGAAACATCACTACCTTCCTACCCCCCTTCATTATACACTTCCACAGAACATACTCTAGTAAATACTACCTTAGAGCTTTCTTCTTCTTTTTTTTTTTTTAATGGTCCCCAGCTATTAGCCTGCCTGCCTGCCTTCCTTTCCTCTGTTCTACTAACTGGTATGAAGGTTAGTAGGTAAGAGGCTTTCTCCCCTTTCTTGGCCTGTAGCAAAATAGAACCCAGTCCCATTGCTCTTTCCCTGTCTTCGTGACTTTGAGGTTGTCCAAGGGTTTTTTATTGTTACCAACAATGGGAAGGAAACAGCAATAAGTTTTCCTCATAAAGGCAGTGGTAAAAATGAAGTGAATGCTGGACATAGCATCAAAAGAGCTGGGTTCAAATCTTGGCTCCACATTTGTTATCTGTGTCATCCTGGACAAGACATTTAAACCATAAGTCTTAGTTTGAAATAATAAAACCTGACAGGACTACTGTGAAAATTAAGTGTAATAACTTATGTTCAATTATCAGTAAATGTGAAATGAATAAATGTATTTTCCAAAGAGAGATGAAATGTTTGGAGATGGGAGAAAATTAATGTGATAAGACAAAGAGGAAGGTTTTTGTTTTGTTGTGTTTTTTAATTAATATTTTATTGTGTTTTAGGTGAAAGTATACACAGCAAATTAGGTTCCCCTTTAACAATTTTTATACAAATTGTTCTGTGCCATTGGTTACAATTTTTACAGTGTGTCAGCATTCTCATTATTTCCATTCTGTTTGTTCTGTTTCCATTGATCTAGCTTCAGTTTCCCTCCTTGCCGTCTCATCTTTGCTTTTGGGTGACTATTAACCGTTTGGTCTCATATAGTTAATTGTTTAAGGGAGCACATTACTCATGGGTGATATTGTTTATTTTATAAGCCAATATGTTGTTAGCTGAAAGGTGACCTGCAGAAACAACTTCAATTCCAAGTTCAAAGGGTGTCTTTAGGATGATAGGCTCAGGGGTTCCTCTAGTCTCTATTAGTCCAGTCTGGCCTTTTATAGGAATTTGAGTTTTGTTCTACATTTTTCTCCCATTCTATCTGGGACCTTCTACTGTGTCCCTGGTCAGAATAGTCAGTAGTGGTAGCCAGGTACCATCTGGTTCTTCTGGTCTCAGGTTTGAAGAGGTTGTGGTTCATGTGGGCTAGTAGTCCCATGAACTAGTTTCTTCTTTGAACCTTTGATTTCCTTCATTCTCTTTTGCTCCGTACAAGTAGAGACCAATAGTTGTATCTTAGGTGACTGCTCCCAAGCTTTTAAGACCTCAGATGCTACTCACCAAACTCAGATGTAGAACATTATCTTTGTGAACTATGTTATACCAGTTGACTAAGTTGTCCCCCAAGACTATGGTCCTAAGCCTTTTGACCTGGTAAACCAATCCCACGAGTTGTTTAGTTATGTCTAGGAAGCCTCCGTTAACTGTCCCCTCAATGTGGTTTATTATATATGTGGATATATTTGCAGCACACACAAACATATGTATACATATGCCTACAGATACCCCTCTATATGCACATGCATTTACTCACATATGCCTTCACATACACATATAATGCATCCATATCTACCTACATAACCACACACACATTTTTTGGTTGTTTTTACTGTTGTTGCAAAATTGTATATGTTATAGCATTACCAATATTGTCCCTTTTTCTTGTGTACTTCCTAGTGTCTTTATTTACCTTGGTCACATTATGCTGACTTCATGCATATTTGATCTTACCTTTCCCATCACCAAAAGTAACAAGTGTCTGCTATCTAGAAGGTGATTCCCCCTCCCTCTCTCTCCCATCCCCAGTAACCATCAAAGAACTTTGCTTTCTGGGTGTATATCTATTCTTGACTTTTTATATTGGTGGGACTATACAATATTTATCTTTTTTTGATTGACTTATTTCACTCAGCATTATGTCCTCCACATTCATCCATGTTATAAGATGTTTCTTGGACTCCTCATTATTCTTTATAGTTGTGTGGTATTACATTGTATGTATAGACCATAATTTGTTTATCCATTCATCCATTGATGGGCACTTAGGTTGTTTCTGTCTTTTTGCTGTTGTGAATAATGCTGCAATGAACATAGGTGTGCATGTGTCTATTTGTGTCACTGCTCTTATATCTGTAGGATATATACCTAGGAGTGGGATTGCTGGATCATAAGGTATTTCTATTTCTAGCTTTTTGAGGAAGCACCACACCATTTTCCACAGTGGTTGTACCAGTTTACAATTCCACCACCAATGTATCAGAGTTCCAGTCCCTTACAACCTCACCAGAATTTGTTTTGTTTTTTTGATCATTGCCATTTTTGCAGGTGTGAGATAGTATCTCATTGTAGTTTTGATTTGCATCTCTCTAATGGCTAATGATTGCAAGCATCTTTTCATGTATTTGTTGACCACCTGATCTTTGGTGAAGTATCTGTTCATGTCCTTTGCCCATTTTTTGATTGGGTTGTTTATCTTTTTGTTGTTGAGTTGTTGAAGTTTTCTACATATTTTAGAGATTAGACCCTTATCAGATACATTGTTGCCAAAGATTCTTTTCCCAGTCTGTAGATTCTCTTTTTACTCTCTTGGTAAAGTCGTTCGATCAGTGTAAGTGTTTACTTTTTAGGAGGTCCCAGTTGTCTAATTTATCTTCTGTCATTCGTGCATTTTTAGTTTTCTTTGATAGACTATTTGTCTTAGTCATGTAGTGCAACTATAACAGGAATACCACAAATGGATGGCTTTAACAAAGAGAAGTTTATTTCCTCACAGTAAAGTAGGCTAAAAGTCTAAATTCAGGGCCTCAGCTCCAGGGGAAGGCTTTCTCTCTCTGTTGGCCTTCTTCTCATCAGCGTTGCCCCGGACTAGGAGCTTCTCCGTGCAGGGACCCCAGGTCCAAAGGACGTGCTCTGCTCCTGGCACTGCTTTCTTGGTGGTATGAGGTCCCCCTGTCGCTCTGCTCACTTCTCTCTTTTATATCTCAAGAGATTGCCTCAGGACACAATCAAATCTTGTAGATTGAGTCCTGTTTCACTAACACAACTGCCGCCCATCCTCCCTCATTAACATCATAGAGGCAGGATTTACAACATATAGGAAAAATCACACAATACGGGGAATCATGCATGGCCCAGCCAAATTGATACAGACATTTTTTGGGGGACATAATTCAATCCCTGACACTGTTTATGCCAAAAATTAGGTCCCCTAGTTTTGACCCTATGTTAACTTCCAGGAACTTTATAGTTTTAGCTTTAATGTTTAGGTCTCTGATCCAGTTGAGTTAGTTTTTGTGCATGGTGTGAGGTATGGATACTGATTCATTTTTCTGCATATGGATGTCCAGTTTTGCCAGCACCATTTGTTAAAGAGACTGTTTCTTCCCCCATTGAATGGACTTTGACCCCTCGTCGAAGGTCAGCTTCCTGTAGATGGATAGATTTACTTCTGGGTTCTCAATTCTATTCCATTGGTCTGTGTGTCTGTCATTGAACCAGGACTAGGCTGTTTTGACTACTGTGGCTGTATAGTAAATTTTGAGATTGGAAAGTGTGAGGCCTCCTACTTTGTTCTTCTTCAGTAGTGCTTTAGCTATTTGGGGCCTCCTTTTCCATATAAAGGTGGAGATTAGTTTTTCCATTTCATTAAAGAATGCTGTTGGAATTTGGATTGGGATCGCATTCTGTCTATAGATTGCTTTTGGTAGTATTGACATTTTTACAGTGTTAAGTCTTGCAGTCCATGAGCATGGAATGTTTTTTCATTTATGTTGATCTCTTTTACTTTCTTGCAGTAGTATTTTATAGTTTTCCTTGTATAAGTCTTTTATGTCCCTGGTTAGGTTTATTCCTAGGTATTTCTTCCTTTTGGGGGCTGTTGTAAATGGTATTGATTTCTTGATTTCCTTTTCAGAGTCCTCCTTGTTAGTGTAGAGGAACCCAACTGATTTTTGTTTGTCGATCTTCTTGTACTCTGCCACTTTGCTGAGTACTTCTATTAGTTCCAGTAACTTTCTTGTGGAGTCTCTAGGATTTTCTGTGTATAGGATCATGTCATCAGTGAGTAAGGATAGTTTTACTTCTTCCTTTCCAATATGTGTACCTTTCTTGCCTTATTGCTTTAGCTAGGACATCCAGCACAATATTGAATAAGAGTGGTGATAAAGGGCATCCTTGTCTCATTCCCCTTCTCAATAGGAATGCTCTCAGTCTCTCTGTTGAGAATAATGTTGGCTGTTGGTTTTACGTATATGACCTTAATTATGCTGAGGAATTTCCCTTCTACTCCTATTTTGCTGAGAGTTTTTATTGGGAAAAGGTGTTGGATTTTATCAAATGCCTTTTCTGAGTCGATTGAGATGATCATGTGATTCTTTTCATTTGTTTTATTTATGTGGTGAATTACGTTGATTGATTTTCTAATGTTGAACCATCCTTGCATCCCTGGTGTGAATCCGATTTGATCATGTTGTATTATTTTTTTGATATGTTGTTGAATTCTGTTGGCTGTAATTTTGGCGTCTATATTCATGAGGGATATTGATCTGTAATTTTCTTTTTTAGCAGTGTCTTTGCCTGGCTTTGGTATCAGGGTTATGCTAGCTTCATAGAATAAATTAGGGAGTATTCCTTCCTTTTCTATGTTCTGGAATAGTTTGAGTAGAATTGGTGTCAACTCTTCTCTGAATGTTTGGTAGAATTCTCAAGTGAAACCGTCTGGGCTGGGGCTTTTTGTTGTTGTTATTAAACTTTTTTTATGCCATCTTCAATTTTGTCTTTTGTTATGGGTCTGTTCAAATTTTCAACCTCTATTTGTGTTAGTTTAGGTAGGTGGTATGTTTCTACAAATTTTTCTAGGTTTTCAGATTTGTTGAGTACAATTTTTCATAATATTCTGTTTAGATCCTTTTTATCTCAGTTGGTTCCATTGTAATATCATGCATCTAATTTCTTACGTTGGTTATTTGCATCTTCTCATTTTTTTCCTTTGTCAGCTTGGCCAGTGGTTTGTCAATTTTATTGATCCTTTCAAAGAACCAACTTCTAGTCTTATTGATTTTTTTCCTGTTGTGTTTCTGTTTTCTTTTATTTCTGCTCTGATCTTTATTATTTCCTTTTTTCTGGACTTCCTTTTTTTATAGACTTCTTTTGCTGCTCCTTTCTATTTGTTCTAGCTATAGGGTTAAGCTATTGATTTGGGCCCTTTCTTCTTTTTTAATATGTGCATTTATTGCTACAAATTCTCCTCTGAGCACTGCTTTTGCTATGTCCCAAAGGTTTTGGTAGGTTGTGTTTTTATTCTCATTTGATTCTTTTAAGAATTTTTTTATTTCATCTCTTACCAAATAGTTCGTAAGATGTTATTCAGTTTCTATTTAATTTTTTTCCTTGTTCTTTCTATTATTGGTTTCTAGTTTTATAGTGTTATGCTCAGAGAAGATGCTTTGTATTATTTCGATGTTTTTTAATTTATTGAGGCTTGCTTTGTGGCCTAAAATACGATCTATTCTTGAGAATGATCCATGTGTGTACGTGCTACTGTTGGGTGGTGTGTTCTGTATATGTCTATGAGGTTGAGTTGGTTGATTGTGTTATTTAGATCTTCTGTATCTTTGTTGAGTTTCTTTCTAGTTGTTCTGTCCATCATCAGAAGTGGTGGGTTAAAGTCTCCTACTATTATTGTAGAACTGTCTGTTTTCTCTTTTCAGTTCTGTTAGAATTTGTTTTATGTATTTTGGAGCTCTGTCATTGGGTACATAAATATTTATATAGAGAGAGGTTATGTCCTCTTGGTCAATTGACCCTTTAACCATTATATGATGTCCTTCTTTGTATCTTATAATGGATTTTGACTTAAAATCTATTTTATCACAGATTATTATTGCCACTCCTACTGTCTTTTGGTTACTGTTTGCTTGATACATTTTTTTCTATCCTTTGATTTTTAACCTGTTTATGTCTTTGTGCCTGAGGTGTGTCTCTTGGAGGCAACATATTGATGGGTCATGTTTTTTTATCTACTCTGCCACTCTCTGTGTCTTGACTGGTACATTTAAACCATTTATATTCAATGTGATTATCAATAGATATGAATTCACTGCTGCCATTTCGTAGTGGTTTTTTTGGTGGTGTTAATGGTTTCATTGTTCTGCTTAATTTTCTGGGCTGAGTTCTTTTTGTTTATGGATTTTCTTTTCGTGTCTTTTGTTGTTGTTGATTTTGTGTTTACTGAGTCTTTTTTATTTTCTTCTTCTTTATTTTGGTAGGTAGATTTATTGATTTTCTTTGTGGTTACTCTGAAATTTAGCTTTATCTTCCTAAGTTTAAAACAGTGTGTTATATCTTGATAGTGCCTTGACTTCAGAGAGAAAGGTTTAAGAAGAGTGCTGGTACTATAATTCTTAAGAATAAAATTATGTGATGTCTTGGATTTGTTTAAAAGTAAAATGAAGTGTGGGTAAATATGAAACACAATTAGCCATTAGTTGAAAATTGTTAAAGCTGGATAGTGAGTACATGGGATTTATTATACTATTCTGTCTTCTTTTGATTGTATTTACATTTTTCTACAATAAAAAGTTTTTTTATAAAGGAATCTTACTAGAACCGAAAGACTATCTAAGAGGTATACTTTAGAGGGTAACTCTCTTTTACTTCATTTTTGTCAATAGCATGTGGTGACCTTTTCCAGTTGGCCATTTGCATATAAGGAATGTACGTAAACTTTACAGATGTTAAGTCAGGCACTGCCTGTATATGCGTATACATTGAATACTTATCATGCTGTATTACGTTAATGTGAAATTTCTAAAGGAATTTAGTACCACATATACTGCATAGATCTCACCCATAGCATGATGCTTCAGTGTAGATAGATTGAAAGACAGGGTAAATTAAGTAGAATCAGTTTTTAAGGGTGAGAAAGAGGTCCAAAAGCAGAAGTTGGCCTGGTTTTAACTATTAAAAATAGTTATTTTTTTGAGATATGATTTGATCAAGGAAACAAGAAATTAGTACTAAGCCTATTTGAACTTTATAAATTTACATAGGTGAAGACCGCATTGGTTCTGCCTCATACCTCTATAATCTCATACAGCTTTCCAAAGAAAAAAATAAGTATTTACATATTTACATAAAGAATGACTTAGTAAATCTTAAAAATGTATTCTAAAATCTCTACCAACCTTTTAAATTTTGTTGTTCCCTTCCCTATCAAAGTTGGTTTTAAGCAAAATGATGAAGTAGGTAGATGTGTTTGTGTTCAGTGCCCTTCTGTTTTCCCTTTTTTGTCTATCCCTTTTCTCCACTTCCTTCAGACAGTCAGCACTGTGCTACTAAGCCAGACTTTTCAGATATAATGTATTTTGTTCCCTAGGAGCTTTTTTGGTTTTGTTTTTAATGAGAACTCCAAGAAATAATTCTACCACAGAGGATTAAATATTTAATGATAAAATTTCTTGCATTTGGGGTAGAGTTGAAAACAGAATTTTCGGTGAAAATCACAATAATGCCTGTCAAATTATACCATATAGATGACTGTCTGCTTGAGGCAATAAATCATGGGCTCTAGTTCTACTTCCACCCCTTACCTGTATGTGACCTTGTATAAGTCACATACCTGCTTTAATCCTCAATTTCTTGCCCAAGAAATGGAGATAGCAACAGGAGCTATCTCACAGAATTGTTGTAAGGATTAAATGAGATGGTATATAAAAAGGGCTTAACACAGAACCAGGGAGTGAGCCTTCAAAGAATATTGGATATTATTATCATTCACCAAAGGCATCCTGACCCCTTTAGATATTAATCTCTCCCATAACTTCATAAATTAAAATAACCCGCCCCTTAAAGAAACATTTTATGTTATATTTCAAATTTGATTAATGTTAAACAAACTGAAATGCCTTTAAAGATCATTTAAGTTTTTAAAGTGACTCTAAATCATAACATGAACTTTGTTGTTTTTTTCTGTTTGAAAAACTGGGTTATTCAAACATAAGTATTATATGTCAAAGACCTAAAAATGGTAAAACTTTAATCAAGTTACAAAGTTTTTTTGTTTTTTCTTTTTTGTAGCAAAGGAGACAAGTTTCTGACTCTGGTGTTATAAATAACAAATCTTGGAGGGGAAATAACAAGAAAGAGTGTTGGAGTTATCCCTCTACTAGTCAAAAGATGAAATCCGATGGATTAGGAGCATCTGGACATTCATCAAATACTAATCGAAATACTATAAACAAAACTTTGAAGCATGATGATTTAAAGGAAAAGAATGGTACAAAAACAGCATCTAAGATTATAAAAGATTTTAAAACTGGGGAAAAATTTGTTTCTGGGAAGCCCAGAGATCTAATTAAGCCTAAAATAGAAAACAGTGATGATGCAAAGTCAGAAAACATGTCTCCTAGACAAGTTGTAGAAAGATCAGCAGCAGCATACGGACAGAAGAATTCACTAAATGGAAAAGGAGTGAAAAATCAGGAAGGGCAGATTACAGGTGCCAGACCCAAGGTACTCTCCGGAAGCTTAAATGTGCATGCCAAAGCAAAGCCTTTGAAGAAAATAACAGGGAAAGATTCTCCAGGCCTCAGCATCACAGGACACTCCAGCATATCTACCAATTCAAGTATGGAATTATTGATTTCCCCTGAATGTCTGTATGAACCAAAAGAAAATGGATCGATAGAAGAGAAGCCATCAGATCATAAGCTATCTTTTTGTGACTCTCAAGGACAAACAGTGAAAACCAGCATGGAAAGTGTCAAAACTTCCACTGTAGGTGGGTTTTAGCACTCTAATTTTTAATAGTTCCTGACAGCTAAAGTTCCTGGAAAAAATTGAACCTCTGTTTGGAACTTTGTTTCAAATCCCAAACGTATTTATTTACATGTATTCATGCAAACCAAGAGGAAATATAATTCTTCCTACTTTAACATTTAATTTTGTTTATAGTGTTTGACCAATAAATTTACACATAATTGTTATGTATTTAATATATTCTATTTTATAATGTCTGGCCAATGAATTGATGTACAACTGTTACGCATTTAGTATGTTCTATCTTGTGACTCACTTTTTCTTAATTTACACCAGTAAAATCTCGACCTGTTTCAAGGGCTACCAGTGGAACTCCCAATAAAAAAAGCATTCACGCACAAGAAACTAATATAAATAACAGGTAAGTCTTCATTCAGTGTTTTACCTATATGTTAGCTTTCTCTGAAAGTTAATTATATACTAACTTCTAGCTAAATATTTTAAAAATATCTTCTCTGTTAAAAGAAATTAGTATATTTACACAGTGATATTTTTAAAACTATTTTCTTTTAAAAGAAATTGTGTATTTATGCAAAATGATAGATGAGTACCTTAAATTACCCTTGTAGCACTTGACTATTGATTGCTTTATCAAAATTGATCTATAATTTTATAAACTTAAACACTTACATACATACATTTTTAATACTTTTGAAAAAGAAATGTAGTTTTTATTTTTTTCTTTGAGAAGAAATGTGTATTTCATGTTTGTGCCTTTTAAGTGCTCACGTTTTGGAATTTCAATGTAATATTGAATGCAAATCATTTTTCTTAGTGTGTTAAAGAAGGTCACCGGCAAAGGACCTAGTGATCCAGTGCCACAGGCAATTTTGAAGAAAAGAGGAAGTGGCAATGGATGTACTACAGCTCAGCACAGGACAAAGAGTGCTCCATCTAATCTTGCTAAAACCCAAGGTAAAACTGAAGTAGTACTGGGTATCATGAGTATTATTTCTTGTTTAAATTGGATAAACAAACTCTAATTTGGAACTTTAGTAGCAATTAAGCAAAATATAACATGGTTTCACTCATTGCACAAAGTAGAGATGAGACTTTATACTATTAATTTTCAGACAAACATTTTGGTGTTTTGAGGTTGAATTTGGTTGTTTTTATTGTCTATTGTGGGAGACATAACTGAGAGAGTCACTAATTTATCTACATTTCTGGCCCTTGTATATATCATGCCTATTTCTTAAACGTTTCATTAATAACTATAGGAATTCCGTTTGCAAAACTACCACTAAAGAACTCTTAAAAAAAAAAAGTAATGGTACAGTCTAGAAAGCTATAATACGTAAGTAGGGAGAATTTTCCTTCAGAATCTATACTGTGCTGATTGTTTTTCTATGTTTTAAGAAAGAGAAGAGTACTGATCAGAATTATATGATATTGCTAAACATAATAAGTGATTTTAAAAATTAATTTGTCTTATACATTAAGCATTCATATAGGTAAGAGCAGTTTGTAAAATCCTAAAAACAATTTTTGAGTTGGATTGTGAATTAGTACAAAAAAGTCAATTAAAAAGAAGACAGAGAAAAATTATTCTTGTTCTAGTAATTAAGCTAAAAAGCATTTACAAATATTTGGTACTCTATTTTTATGCAAATAACGCATGCCTCCTGCGTTTGTTTGTCAGCCACACCTTCCCCCTACAAGGTACTTTCATATAAGCATGCTGTGCTAATTTTTTTTTTACAACAACATGTAAAAAAAAATTGTCATAGTGGTGCTTATGAAAATACCTCATGGGAGGAGGGCACAGTTGGCAAAAAAAATAGAAGGCAGCGTTATTTGCATAAAAATACAATAATCCTATTTGACAGATTTGAATGCCAAAATATCATCTCTAAGACTCTAACTAATGTAAACAAATGGATTCCCAAAATTAATCCCTCTTACCCTCCAGTCACCAGTTTCAGTTTCTACTGTGTATCTGAGTTATTATCCTCAATGAAGGAGCCCTGGTAAAGTAAACAGTTAAGACCTTAGCTGCTAACTGAGAGGTTGGTGGTTGCAAACCCACTCAGTGGCTCTAGGGGAGAAAGACCTGGCTACCTGCTTCCATAAAGATTACAGCCAAGAAAACCGTGTGGGGGCAGTTCTCCTCTGTAACATGGGGTTGCTGTGTGTCAGAATCAACTCGATGGCACCTAACAACAACAACCTTAACTAATAATAATGAACTGGTTAGGAAAAGTAAGTTAGTTTTGTTCATGCTTAAGAAAAAAACTACAACAATTTCAACATCGCTATTTTATATTTAGCTTGATTCTCTTCTTTGGCTATACAGAACACAGTCTTTTTGTTCAAAATTTCAAAGGGAAGAAGATCCTTCTTGCTCTTCTGGGATAGGAAAAACAAATTTTTCTGTCCCTATGTATTTATGTAAATCCAGTTCTGGCACAGGATCAAGGCTGCTTACTTGAGGAAGAGAGATCCTATTTTAATAATTTTCACTAAGGCCTTGGAATAGTCCCTATATTTTTAGTAAAAAAATATTTTCTTTTTAAAAATTTTATCATGTCCCAACCCCTTGCCATCGAGTTGATTCCAACTCACAGTGACCCTATAGGACAGAGTAGAACTGCCCCATAGGATTTCCAAGGCTGTAATTTTTATGGGAGCAGACTGTCACATCTTTCTCCTGCAGAGCGGCTGGTGGGTTTGAACCACTGACCTTTCTGTCAATAGCCAAGTGTTTAACCACTGCATGACCAGAGACTCCTTATTATCATGTCACTAACCCCTAATCTATAATTGCACATTTGATCATAGAGATGTTACCATTTCATTAGTTTATTAATTTTATTTTTTATTAAGTAATTTAAAAACAAATATTGCATTTGATTCACAAATTGGAGTGTATATTGTTATTTTTTGAATTTTTTTTCCTCAGGATGTCAAGGAGAGTCTCCAAACTCACTAAAATCTTCAGTCTCTTCAAGGCAGTCTGAAGAAAATGTGACAAAGTTGGATCACAATGCAACTACAGATAAACAAACACCTAAGAGAAAAACTGTCAAGCAGGGACACACAACTTTGCCTAAGGTTAATACAAAAATAGTGGCAATGCCTAAAAGCCTAAATCAGTCAAAGAAAGGGGAAACTTTGAATAATAAAGATGCAAAACAGAAAACGCTTCCTGGACAGATTACCTTGAGGACTCAGTCTTCTCAAAGACCTTTAAAAAGTGAACCATCTGTCCAAAAAAGTATGCTTCGTGATGTACGTGATAATAATAAGGGCAGTGTTTCTGAACAGAAGTCTCACAAACCTCTAATTAATCTTACACCTCAAATCAACGGTACAGAAGCACCCCAGTCTTCATGCAAACCTTACTCAAAAAAGCCATTAAATAATCAAGAAAAAGAGAAGTCAGTAGTAGAATGCCAAAATACTTCAAAGTGGGATAAATTAGTAAAACATGAACTGGAATCAAAACAGATTTGTTCAGATAAAAGTGAAGCAAAATTTCCTGATCACAAAGAAACAGATAATTGCTGTGCAGCTGAAATACATTCTCATTCTGATGGGAGTGATAATGTACATTTAAAATTTTATAGCACCACTGCCCTGAAATCCATGATTTCAAATCCAAATGAAAACTCCATGAACTCTAATCTAACTTATGATTTAGACTCAACAAATGAAGAGCAAATCCATTTAGTATCAGAGAGTGAGAACCAAATGGGGAGAAAAGATACAAACCAAAAATCAACCATTAAATGTGTGAAAAGATTTTTACCTTGTGTTCCTGAAAGGACAAATGCTACTTTAGATTCTGTTCAAGACAACAGAAAATGCAAAATTCACATGGAAGGACTGACAGTTCCTAGTCAGTTGTCTGATGATCCTGCTGTAAATAAAGACAAACATGCTATAGCAGGTTCAGATATTTCCTCTAAATGTTTTTCGGGACAAATATCAGGCAAAAATTCTCCTAAAGATATGGAAACCACAGAAACTCCAGAGAGCCATGAAACTTTAGAAGCTCCATTCATGGGTCCCTGGAGTTTGAGTACCAATGTTCCGCATCAGAGAGAGAGTCCCGAATCTGATACTGGTAGTGCTACCACATCCTCTGATGACATAAAGCCCAGATCTGAAGACTATGATGCCGGAGGGTCTCAGGATGATGATGGGTCAAATGACAGAGGCATTTCTAAATGTGGCACTATGCTGTGCCATGATTTTCTTGGAAGAAGTAGCAGTGATACCAGTACTCCTGAAGAATTAAAAATATATGATAGTAATTTAAGAATTGAAGTAAAAATGAAAAAGCAAAGTAGTAATGATCTTTTCCAAGTTAATTCCACAAGTGATGACGAGATTCCTAGGAAAAGGCCAGAACTTTGGTCTCGTTCTGCAGTAGTCCACTCTAGGGAGAAAGAAAATATTCTGCGAGGCAGTGTCCAGTGTGCTCAGGAAATAGATCAAGTTTCTTCCTCAGCAGATGAAACAGAAGATGAAAGGTCTGAAACGGAAAATGTTGCAGAACGTTTTCCTCCATCTAAACAAGCTCCTCAGCAATTTCAGGGAATAATTAATTTAGCTTTTGAAGATGCAACTGAAAATGAAAGTCATGAGTGTTCTGCAACTAAAAAATTTAAAAGATCAGTTTTACTTTCAGTAGATGAATGTGAAGAGCTGGGATCTGACGAAGGGGAAGTTCACACTCCCTTGCTGCCTTCTATAAATTCTCTTTCACCTTCTGATGTTTTTGATGGCATTTCTCATGATCAACATGGAAGGACCAGCTATTCTAAATATGCACAAGAAACTGAAAATAGTCTTTTAGAACGTAAACAAGCTAAAGGCAATAGCGTATATAAAAATGAAAGCACTCTCTTGAGTCTTAGTAGCATTGACTCTTCAAGAAAAGATCAACAGAGTGCTTCAGCCACAGAAAAAAAGAACACAATAGATGTCCTGTCCAAAGGAGACAGACAACTTCTTCCAGAAGATTCAAAAGTAAACATTGGAAGTGATGCAAATAATGACTTTCAGCAACACAGCAAACTTTCAGATAGTGATATAAAAAATCAAGAAAGACCATGTCATTTGGAGCTTCATCAGAGAGAACCCAATTCTGACATACCAAAGAACAGCTCTACAAAATCTATTACAGACTCCTGTCGGAGTCAAGTTCTGCCTCAGGAAGCTCAAGTGAAACAGAGCCATCCCACAGCTACCGAAAAAGCCAACATTGGTTTATCTGCAGGTAATGTACAGAAATAGAAATGCTAAATCCATATAGACAATGAGTTTATAGAATTTTAAAGTTGTATCTAGCCCTGAACGTTATATTTTAGTTAGGTAGGATAACTACTTAAGCAACAGATTCACATTTTACATAAAAAAATTTCTTAATAATATGAAAATTAGCTATTCTTTATTGTTCACTTAAAATCCTAGCGAAGAATGAATACCTAGTAAAAAATTTTGTTTGTCTGCTAGACAGAGCTAATCTAAGATTTTACATGAAAGAATAGAGAACTGTTTGCTATTATTTCATTATTTATGTCTAATTTAACATAGGAATTCTTGATTATTAGAAATTTTGTTATTCATTGGATATGATTTATGGGCTATGCGAGTACATATCTAAGAGGGCTGTGCAATAACTATAGGATTATGTAACTAAAAGCACTGAACTATTTTAACAACTAGATGAATTATTACAATTTATATACATTTTAGAGAGATTAAGACTTTCAGGAGCACTGTAATTATATTCTAAAATTTTCAAGTAAAAAAATAAATTTCCTAAAAGAGATTATATTTAGAAGCAATGATTATATATGAAAAAAGCCCAGGCTTATTTCATATGTTTAGATGATTTCCTGTCTAATTGTTTTATGTGTTTGTCTTCCTTATTATAGTAAATTGAACCAATGACCTAAATTTAAAATATGCAGTAGTGGCTGACTGAGTAGCTATTGTTTATCAAGACTACAAAAAATACTGATCAATAGTCCCTGTACAGCAAAATCAAAAGAACAGGGGGATCTTCAAAAATTGTACTTTTTTGTTTGTTTGTCCCTGCTCGCATCCTCCTTTGCATGTGCAATATACAAATAAGCCTTTAGATAAAATGTATTTATTCTCCCTTTTGGAACTGACTTAATTTAAAAGTCACTGTGAAATAACCACATCTTTTTTTCTTTTTAAGTTTATAGAATAGTGAATTAGATATATGTGTGCATTCTGTGTTTGTTTGAATAATTTGTTGTTTTCTGTATCACAAGTTTTCAAATTAAAATATGGAGAATTATTGTTAGTTGCCTATATAATTTTGCTGCTAAACAGTACCCTTGAGTTGTTGTTTTCTTTTAACATAGAAAAGAATTGCCTCAAGAATCTTGTCAATTTTGTATAAATGTTATTTTTCCCATTCTGTGTCTTTTTTTTTGGATTATCACTGTTATATTGTGTTAATATTGTTCTACAAAACCCTGAGGGTAACAACATGTGCAATTTTTACATTGTGTAGTATTATGAATTATTTCAGGAGACATAGATGATTGTGACACACTGGCACAAACCTGCATGTATGACCGTCGGCCTTCAAAAACCCTCTCTCCAATATATGAGATGGATGTAATAGAAGCTTTTGAGCAGAAAATGGAATCAGACTCACACTTTATGGACGTAGATTTTGAAGATGATCAACATTTTGCAAAACAAGATTGGACACTACTAAAGCAACTGCTCTCTGAAGAGGATTCAAACCTGAATATTACAAATTCTGTTCCTGAAGACTTAAATCTAGCACAGTATCTAATCAATCAGACACTATTTCTAGCACGAGACAGCTCAAAACCTCAGGGTAAAGCACATGTTGACACTTTGAACAGATGGAGCGAAATAACATCTCCACTTGATTCCTCAGCAAGCATCACCATGGCTAGTTTTTCCTCTGAAGATTGTTCACCCCAAGGGGAATGGACAATTCTGGAACTGGAAACTCAGCATTAAGAGTGTTAAATTTTGGGAAAATTTTAAACTATGCCACCCTTTTATTTTTTGATGCTTATATTATACCCACATATTAATTGCATTAGCCAGACCTAGACTGCCCTTAATATTGAGGGAGTTTTTCCAATTATAGTTTATTTGTTAATACATCACATGTAGAAAAGAGTGTTTTTCTACATTTTTTTGAGCATGTTTTCTATAATTATTAGAGAAATTAGAAGACTTGTAAAGAAACCCTAGCTTTGTTTTTTCTTTCCTAACTGATCATTTGTTCACTTGTTTATTATTCAAGAATTTAAAATGTGAATGCACAAGTAGATCAGTCCCTTTACTTTTTGCTCTGCATATGGTAACATAGTAATTTAACAATAAAAACTTACTGTGCTTGTGTCAGTTTATGTATTGTTAATCTATGAATAACATTCATACTCAGGTTGGAGTGGTTGAGGCTGATAGCTGAGCATTAGGAAAAACCTTAGCTTTCGCAACAATTCAGGTCCAAGAAATTGTGAACTAAACGCACCACATAGTTACTAAAGCCAAGAGAAATGGAATCTTCTGTACCTGTCTTTTTGGGATATATCCAGAGAGAGGCATCTGCCCTTGTTCAAAAGAAGAAACTGTCTATCTTTCTTACCTAGATAGATACCCCTTACAGTTACTTAATCATTCTATATTTTCCATTCCATGTTACGGGTATTTTGGAACTGTGCCTGCAATGAATATTGATTTGTAAGTGGGTACATGAAGCAATTGAGGAAGTTATTGAGTTAAATTTTGTATGTGTGTGTGTGTGTGTGTGTGTGTGTGTTTGCTTTCTCAGTGTGTCTGTATACCCTACTTCCTTATTTTCTTGATCAGATTATCTTTCAGTCTGTAATTTTGGTAGAAAGGCATTTATGAAAACCTTTTCTACAAAATGCTACTAAGGAATGAAAACTTGGATACCTACTTGGTATTGGTGGATATTCCCCTTAGGATGATGGGATTTAGTAGAATTAACCAGTTGTTGCTGCGTCAACTCCAGCTCATGGTGACCCCGTGTGTGTCAGAATAGAACTGTGCTCCATAGGGTTTTCAAGGGCTGATTTTTCAGAAGTAGATCGCCAGGACTTTCCCCAGTCCACCTCTGGGTGGACTCGACCTCCAACCTTTCCATTAGCAGGTGAGCGCATTAGCCGTTTGCACCACTCAAGGCCTCCTTTAGTAGAATTAGCCTCACACCCAAAGCTTTGTAGGTAACTCATAATTTCTCTAAAATATGTCAGAGGTAAGGAAATGCTTTAGTTTAGAATTCCTTTTCTAAATTAGCGAAGTTTTCAACAAATGATTAGTACTAATCAATTTAATAATTATGTTAAATATCAACAATCATATTAATATACTACCATTTGTTATTGTATAATAATGTTAGCATTAGCTACTAACCTATTATACCATAAAATTGCTATGTGTTTTTAACTAGAAGTTCTGTGTAGGGGAGCACCCACTCATGCATGCTTACATTCATTCATTCAAACAGTCGAAAAAAAAGGCACTGGTTCAAACCACTTGTGTGCAAAGAAATAGGGTTGTTTCCTCCTCACCCCCCAAAAAACTTTGGTGTTTACTGGGGAAAGACTGTGTAATAAAAGAGTTAAAATACAATATTATAAGACTTTATATTTTAGATCTGGATAGGAATTTAGAGATTATTTAGTCTAATCCCTTCAAATTTCAAAGGAGGACTCTGAAGCCCAGAGGAATTAAGAGATTACTCAAGATCCCACAGGTCATTTGTGGGCTAGAATCCAGTCCTCCTTAATTCCAGTTTGGTGTTATTTCTCCTGCAAAACAGCACACTTCATTTGATTTTTCTCACAAAACCTGAGAACAAGTGCATTTATAGGTAATTTGTAGTATAAAGTAGTATTTTATGATAGAGTCAGGCTGCGCAACTTCCTAAGACATTGTGTTATTTTCTTTTTCTTCAAATGTGAAATTGTTTTAAGTGTTATTTTTAATAAACTTCCTTACAGGTTCACAAATTTATAATTGAAACTTCATTTCTGTTTTCAGTTTCAAAGTCTTGAATGCTTTCTTCTTATATTATTAGGTATAAAAGAAGCTATTCAGTTTCAGGTGCCCTCATGGCACAGTGGTTAAGGGCTATGGCTGCTAACCAAGAGGCTGGCAGTTTGAGTCTACCAGCTGCTCCTTGGAAACCCTGTGGGGCAGTTCTACTCTGCCCTATAGGGTCGCTATGAGTTGGACTTGATGGAAATGGGTTTTTGGTTTGGTATTCAGTTTCACGTCACATCTGCAAATAGTTAAAAGGGAAGGCATTTTGCTTAAGTAGTAACCTCTTAAGTCATTTCAAGACATAGCGTGTGTTTTCACATCATGCTCTTGTGAACCACACATCTACTGGTCTATTTGCTATGAGACTTTTTGGGCTAGCGCTTTATCATTCAGCAAACATATTGAAAAAAAATTGCTAACATTTATTTTGCACTTGTAATGTTTGACACTGTGCTAATGCTTTAAATATGCATTTACACATTTAATTCTCAACAGTGCTATGAGATATGTCTTCCTAGCATCATTACTTTATTCATGAGGAAACTGATAGAGTCCTTACCCCAGATGAGCTACCCTACTGGAAGAGACCAAAAGAGAAAATAATGCAGTATACTAGTGTTTGGTAAGATAACAGGTGTACCCGGTCACTATTATGAGATCCCAGCAGGAGAAGCTACTAATAGCTGGTCAGGAACAGAAGGGCAAGTAATATTTAGAGATTATTGAGTCTAATCCCTTTAAATTTCAAAGGAGGACTCTGAAGCCTAGAGGAATTAAGAGATTGCTCAAGATCCCACAGTTCATTTGTGGGCTAGAATCCAATCCTAAATTCCAGTTTGGTGTAAAAGATCTTCCTCTAGAGCCTTCGGATAGAACATGTCCCTGCTGACCTCCTGAATTCAGACTACTAGCCTCCAGAACTGTGAGACAATACTTTTCTATTGTTTAAAGCTACCCACTTTGTGGTTCTTAGTTATAGCAGCCTTAAACCAATGGGCTTCAGGTAGATTCTGACTCATAGCAACCCTGTGCTGTCTCATACTCTCACACTGTCTCATATAAGTATGAGACAGCAGCCCTAGGAAACTAATATAGCTTCCTAGTTCTACTTCTGAATACTCCTCGTCAGTCTCCTTCTTGGGCTTTTCTTTGACTGATGCACAGTATTTTGTCCTCGGCCCCGTGAATGTCCCTCCGTCTACACTGAGGCATCTCAAACTCAGTATGTCCCAAATTAAACTCATCCTCACTCCTAAACTTGCTTCAAGAGTGATGAATCTATAATCTTGCTACTAATCAGAGAAGGGCAAATCAAAGCTACTAGAGTCTACTTTCATCTATCAAATTGGCAAAGATGGTAAAAGGTTATTTTAAAAAAAAAAATTCAACTTAAGCAAGAAAATAGAACATACTGAGTCTGGTAAGCAATTAGGCAATCCATAGGAAGAGTTTATAAATTCATATCCTTAACCTAGTCCTTTCCCCTCATGGGATATGTCATTAGGAATTAAGAAGACCCCAAGGGTATGGGCCCCAGATACCCTTTAAACTCAGTACTGAAGGTCACTCCCGAGGTTCACCCTTCAGCTAAAGATTAGACAGGTCTATAGGGCAAACAGTAACACACGTGAGGAATGTGCTTTGTAGTTCAGTCATGTATATGAGACTAAATGGGCACACCAGCCCAAAAGCAAAAACGAGAAGGCAGGAAAACTGGACGAATGGAAACAGGAAACCCAGGGTGGAGAAGGGGAGAGTGTTGACGCATCACAGGGTTGGCAACCAGTGTCACAAAACAATTTGTGTACTGTTTAATGAGAAACTAATTTGCTCTGTAACTTTCCCCTAAAGCACAAAGAAGAAAAAAGAATCTCAGCAACAATTTGTCTACAAAAATATTTATCAGATGTATTAGTGAAAATTGAAAGCTAGCTAAATGTCAACAGTAGGCAAAAGGCTAAATAAATTATGGTACATCTATATAACAACATTATACAATGATTAAAACTGTAAAAAAAAAAGCATGTTTAATGACAAAGGAAGATGCTTATGAAAAATATATATATGTCTCAATTTTATATATAGGTTCAAAGAAAAAACAACTGGAAAGAAATACGTGAAAATGTTAATGGTGGTTATAGGTACTGGGAATATAGATGATTTGTGTCTTTTAACTCATCTATGTTTTCCATAAGGCACAGGAAAAGAGATTTGTTTGTTTTTAAGTAAGTGATAGTGGTCAATAGTGCCCAATGTTTGAGATGTCAGTTTGGGTGCACACCTAGACTAGTCCACTGGATTTGGAAATTAGGATTTTATTAGTGGTTTTTGTCAAAGGAGTTTCAGAGGAGTAGTGAGGGCATAAATTAAGACTATAGTAGGTTGAAAGTCGAACAAGAAGTAGAACTTACTCTTTCAAGGGACTGGCTGAAAAGGAGACAGTGGTAGCTCAAAGATACTGTTGTTTTTAAGATAAAAGTGACTTGGTACTTTGAAGATAAGGAGTTGGGAATAATCAATGACTCAGGGATCATCAAGGAAGAGGCAGAAGGAGGTAGGATCAAGCACAAAGAGTATTAACTGATACAGGGCATTTCAGTGAACCTCAAGTGTTCAATATAACTAAAGCACTGAAAACATGTAGGACAGCTGCAAAAGTATCAATGGGCTAAAACATGAAGAACCCTGTAGGCCATGCCAAGGACTATGAGCAAGCCATTTAGGCAAATATCTTAAGAATCAAAGGCAAACACATTATTGGACTGTTTTATGAGGGTCACTCTATCTGTATAAAACCAAAACCAAACCCACTGCCGTTGAGTCTATTCTGACTCATAGTGACCCCGTAGGACAGAGCAGAACTGCTGCCATAGGGTTTCCAAGGAGCTGCTGGTGGATTAGAACTGCTGACTTTTTGTTTAGCAGCTGTAGCTCTTAACCACTGCACCACCAAGGGCTCCCTATCTGTATAGTGTGGAAGATATGTATATCTCTTGCCATTTTTTGTTTTGTTTTTTTCATCTGGCTCAGTTTAATGGATCTATTTTGGAGTTGGAATTATCTACATACTCTTCTCTAATGATATTTATATTATTTTTATATTGTAAATTCTGATACCAAGACTAGTTTGAATCCAGCTTAGCTAAATATGAGAAGTGCACATTTCTATCATGTTAATATTATACAAGTGACTTTTGGTGTCAGATATTCACTTCTCATACAGTGGTTTCTTAATTACTTCCAAACAGCCAAAATTAGTGTAAGAATTTTAATTCTAATCTTTTCCTGATTCAATACTTTTATAATAATGTTAATCAAACAATGAATTTCCAAATCAAAAATTTATTAGGAAAAAAATATTTTCATACAATGACATATTTTTTTTTCCCAAAAGGGCTTTCATATAAAATGTAGTGTGGTTTATGTCTTTTCTTTCAATTTTATTCTCAATTTTAACAAGGCAAGAGGGCTAAATTTAAAAAATTGCAGTTGAAATACACCTGCATTTAAACGATTAC